CTGAGCTTGGTCAGGACCTACTGGGCCCTTGTTGACTAACATCAGCCCCTGTGGAGCCCTAAGTGGTCTGACTTCAGTGCTGTTAGCCATTGTAGCTTGTCGCCAAGAGCAGTGCTGTTCATATGTGATTGTGAGCACAGAGGCCTCTGCTGTGATCCAGAGGAGAGCAGTGTCTGGATCTTGGTTCACGCATGTAAAAAGCAAGTGTTGACAAGTCTAGAAGCAAGTTGCTACAAGAATGACCGAGAACACATGGCATGTTCATGAAAATTCTTAATGTTTCACATTACTATCTTAAAATTTGTTAGTTGTTAAAGAAGCCCTCAGTACTAGTTTCAGATTCTTTCAATACATAAAATTGTTCTAAAAATAACAGGTTTTGTAGACATAAGAGTAAAACACAACAAACTAAATTAGAGTAAGACAAAACAAAACTATCAAATAAAAGTTGGAAATGCAAACAAACAGGAGGAAAAGAGTCCACAGAAAACCAAAAACTCAGAGACCCACTTGTTCACACACTCAGGGTTTCCATAAAAATACAAATACGGAATACCCCCAATATACTAAAGCCACGATACATACATAGAAGACCTGGTGCAGACTCATGCAAGCCCAGTGTTTGCTGCTTCAATCTCTGTGAGCTTTTCTCCTTTGATTTACAGTGACTACCACTCCACATGGAAATCAATCTACCTCTCCTTCCAGAGATACCAGTCTTGGGCATGTTCCACAAGGACGCTTCAGCTACCAAAATGACACTTTCTCAATCATGTTCATTCTTGTTGGACTCACAATACCCAGAAATTCAAAACTGCCTAGATGTGCTTCGACTGAAGAATGGTTAAAGAAAACATGGTGCACTTATACAACAAAGTATTACTCCACTGTTTAAAAAATGACCTCATGAAATTTTTATGCAAATGGATGGAGCAAAAGAACTCATCCTGAGTGAGGTTACCCAGACTCGGAATGATAAATATGGTGTACATATGCTTATATGTGGATATTATAGGTTAAATAAATGATACCCAAGCTACAACATAAACTCACAGAGAGATTAGGTATAGACCACCAGACTATGAGGACACAAGGATCTCCCTGAATGTGGGAAATAGCTGAGATTTTATGGGTGGGCTGGAGGGGTCTAGAAAAGCAGCATAGGGTTGGGAGGGGGAGGGAAATGGGTTTGAGAGAGGGAATGCAGTGAGACACAGCTAGAAGGAGGGGCAATTGAGGGGTGGTATGGAAATCTAGTACAGTGAAAACTTTGCAAAATATAAGAAGGCAATCCTGATGATATCTGCAAATACTGGGAGGAGACATAGTCCCACTGTAAATCTCTTGTCATCAAACAAAACTTCCATTAACTGGTTTACCTATAATTGAGATGTTGGCCAAAGGGGACCCATGGAAATCCCCATACACCTCAGGCAGATGTCAAGACAATAGGTTGATCTCCATCTACTGACAGCAAGGGCCCATAGCTGAGGGATACTCACACAACTCATTGGATGTGGACAGGTCAAGCTGGTGCCTACATACAACCATCATTACTGCATCACAGTGTCTTTAGTATAGGAAGGTACTGTTCAGGCTTCCAAAAGAGAAATACAACTCTCAACCAGGCCAAAGTCCTTTGATCTACATTGCAGTCCTGCTTACAAATATACTAGGGCCATGGTAGCATGGTAGCACAAAGCTTATGGGAATAACCACCCAAGTCTGGTTTGAGTTAAGGCCACTGTACCAGATGGAATCCCTACCTGATACTGCCTTCGTGACCACAAACCAGGCACTAGATAGCCCTGAGACCTAGTGGTAAAGGAAACAATGCTGGTTTTTCCCCAGTAGTGACAAAATAAGTCTTAATGGTGTTCTGCTATATACATCAGAGTTTAGTCCTCATCAGAGAATTTTCATCCTCCTGCCGAATGAAAAAAATTACAGATACCCACAGGCAGGTGCGTGTGTGTGTGTGTGTGTGTGTGTGTGTGTGTGTGTGTGTGGGAGAGCGGGAGGGAGAGAGAGAGAGAGAGAGGG